TAGTATTCTACTACATTCGTATACCACAACTTGTTCAGCCATTCCCCAATTGATGGGCATCCTCTCAATTTCCAATTCTTTGCCACCACAAAACGAACTGCTATAAATATTTTTATACATGTGGGTCCTTTTCCCATTTGTATGATCTCTCTGGGATATAGCCCTAGAAGTGCTATTGCTGGGTCAAAGGGTATGCACATTTTAATAGCCCTTTGGGCATAGTTCCAAATTGCTCTCCAAAATGGTTGGATCAGTTCACAGCTCCACCAACAATGCATTAGTGTTCCAATTTTCCCACATTTTGGGAAGACTTTTATGAACTGATACAAAGTGAAGTGAGCAGAACCAGGAGAACATTGCACTCCGTAACAACAAAATTGTAAGGATGTTCAGCTCTGAAAGAATTAGCTACTCTAATCAATAGAATGATTGAAGACAATTTCAAGGGACTCATGATGAAAAATGCTATTCACCTCCAGAGAGAGAACTGATGAATTCTGAGTGCAGATTGAAACATATTGTTTTTACCTTTCTTTCTTTTCCTTGCCTTTTTTTTCTTTTTGCAACATGGCTAACGTGGAAATATTTTACACAACTTCACATATATAACAGATATCATATTGCTTGCCTTTTCAATGGGTAGGGGAGGAACTGGAGGTAGAGAAAGTATTTAGAACTTGAAATTTAAAAAAAAGAATGTCAAAAATAGATTTTTTTAAAAAAGAAAAAAGAACCCTCAAAGTATTAATAAGAAAAGTTCTAGTAATTTCAAATGCACTTCAGGGAGTTTGTCAGTTACAATGTATTTGTAGTTTTCACACTCCAAGTTTCTAAAGGTCTTGAAAAGGAGCATTTTTTATTATTTAGAAGTTTAAAAATGATAAAATTAAATGAATTTCAATATTTCTATTATGGAGTCATTTATGGTAAACTTGACTCAATTTGTAGGTAAATGAAAGTATTCTATGAACTAAAATGAATAATTAATAACAAAATTCATTATATTGGCTCAAGAAAGGAATAAAAATGGTTCTTCCTCAAAAAATATAATGTTATCTATGTTTTGTTGTATTTTTATTGGTTTTGTTAAATATTTCCCAATTACATTTTAATCTAGTTTGGCAGCACTTGGGAATATTGCAGATCCATGCTGCCCATTATATTTTTGACTCTTCTGATATAGGGATTGTTTTTCTTTTGAATTATATAATAAATTAAAATGTAACTCTCAAAGCTGTCCTCCTTGTCTGTGGTTCTTTCTGACCTTCCTTTTTTTTCTATTCTCATGGGGCGGGGGAAAGGGGAACCCTATTCTTACCCCTCTCTTCTCATTGGAAAAAGAAAAAAAAGCCTTATAACCTATATGCACAATGAAGCAAAACAAATTTCCTCATTGGCTATGTCCAACAAATTATTTCTCATTTTGCATCCTGGAGTCTATCATCTCTCTGTGAAGAGGTTGGTAGCATGCTTCATATTTGGTATTCAGGAATTGCAGTCATTACATTGGTCAGATTTCTTAAGTCTTTTAAAGTTGTTTTTCTTTACACTACTGTTGTTGCATAAATTGTGTAAGTCTTCCCAATTTTCTCTGAAACCTGCAATAATATTCCATTATACTCATGAACTATAATTTGTTCAGCCATTTTCCAATTAATAGGCACTCTTTTAGTTTCCAGTTCTCTGCCATGATAAAATAAACTGCTATAAATGAATTTTGTCCATATGAGTCCTTTTCCTTTTTCTTTGATCTCCTTGGGGTAATAGTCTAGCAGTGGTTTCACTGGGTCAAAGGGTATGCACAGTTTAGTAACTTTTCAGGCATAGTTCCAAATTGCTTCCAGAATGGCTGGACCAATCCACAACGGCTCCACCAACAGTATATTAATGTGAGCCAATACAATATGATGCCAATCAAACTGCTATGGTAGTATTTTATAGAGGTAGATAACATAATAAGAAAATTCATTTGGAAGATCAAAGGGACTAGAATTAAAGGAAATGATGAGAAAAAAGGAGCAGTAAAGGGGTAATAGTACTTTTAGATCTCAAGTAATATTATAATGCAATTATCATCCAAAAAATAGAAAAGTTGATCAGTTGAACAAACAGGATAAACAAGAATCAGAAAAAAGAAATTAAACTTAATATTCCAATGTTAGATAAACTTGAGAACATAATCTATTCAGAGAACTTCCCATTTGATAATAACTTTTGGGAAAATTGAAAAACAGCTTGGTAAAAAAATAAGTTTAGACCAACATCTTTATCTACTACAATTAGCTCGAAATGGATATGTAACCTTAATATAAAAGACTACACTATTAAAAATTTAGAAGAGAACCAGATCAGGTACCTTTCACAGCTGTGGCCAGGAAGAGAATTCTTAGTCAAATGAGGAATAGAGGAGATCACAAAAGACAAAATAGATAATTTTGAAGACACAAAATTGAAAAGCTTTTCCATGAATCAAATCAGTGTAGCAAGGCTAAGAAGGGAAACCATTGACATGGAAGAAATCTTTGCATCAAATACCTCTGATAAGGGTTTGATATCCAAAATATATAGGGAATTCATACAAATAAAAAACCGAGTCACTCCCCCAATTGATACAGTAAAATGACATAAATAAATGTTTCCAGAAGAATTGCAAATTATCAGCAACCATAGGAGAGGTTGCTCCAAATCATTAATAATAAAATACAAGTCAAATCAACTCAGACATTTAACCTTACATACATCGGCAAAGATGACAAGATGGAAATAGCCGTTGTTTGGTGGGAAGGAGGGAGTCTCTTGGAAGACACTGCTGATCCAGGTGTAAATTAATCTAATCATTCTGGAAAGCAGTTTGGAATTATGTTTTAAAAGTGACTAAAGTATCCATAGCCATTGACCCAGAGAGCCCACTTTTAGTTGTAGATCCCAAGGACAGAATGACAGAAAGTTTCCATATGTGCCCGAATGTTCATAGTTATTCTTTCTGTGGTAGCGAAGAATTGAAAATAAAGTCAATTTTCCATTGTTTGGGGAATGGTTAAACAAATTATGGGATCATGAATGCAATGGACTATTCTTACTGTATTAGAAATGTTGAACGTGAGTAATTCTGAGAAGCCTGGGAAGACTTAAATGAATTGATACAAAAGGAACTAAAGCAGAAGCAGGAAAATGACATACACAAAGACTCCAGTGATGTAGATGGATGGATACAGTATAATTCTAATGCCCAAGCTTGGCCCCAGACAAGAGTTGAGGAAATGTATCTCCTGGCTCTGCGTCATTGCTGAGCCAGGGGACTGTGGGCAGGGAGCGTTGCATGGACTTTCCAATTGTTGATGTCTTGGCTAGTTTTGCTAAATTAGGCACCAATAATAATAAGATACATGTTTTCAGGCCTTGGCTGAAGAGTCCAGTTACTTGGGTTCTAGTCTCAGCTCTGTTGCTAACAGGCTGTGTGACCTTGAGCAAGTTCCTTGCCCTCCCATTTTCTCCTCTGTACTCTGAAGGTAGATTTCACCCCCAGTCCTGCCAATTCCCCTTTAAGGGATAGAAGAGAAGGAGAGAGGAGGCTTGGTGAGGGCAAGCAATGCCTCTGTGCCCTCTGTGTAGGGCTAGAGTTGGGCTGAGTAGTGTCCTACATCATCATTCCATATGGAAAAGCTCATGCTCTGGGCCAGGCTTTGTTCAAACTGGGTTCTGTTTGAATTAAAAATCATTTTGCAAACAAGCACTCTAGCCTGGGACAGGAACGAAGTGCAAAAGGCTCTGGCACACAATCTTCTTTTCTGCTTCTCTTTCTTCCCTTTCACTACTTACTGTGCCTGCTGCTACTTGGCTTCTCCTCCTCAGACCCCCAAACTCCTTCCCAGGAGATGGAAGAGGAGGAGGAGAAACAACAACAGAAAGCCTGGGCACGGGCATGGGCAGCAGCACCACTGTCTCCCCAGTGAAAGAGGTTGGGGTATTGCCTCACCACCACTACCCCCACCTTCATCCTGGCAGGCAGGCAGGGAGGGAGGCAGAAAGAGAGGGAGAGAAGCAGACGAGGAAAGAAGGAGGGAGGCAGACAGGTAGGCAGGGAGGGAAGGAAAGAGGGAGGCAGGGAGGGAGGCAGAAAGGGAGCGAGGCAGAAAGAGGGAGGCAGGCAAGGAAAGACAGAGGGAGAGAGGCAGACAGGCAGTGAAAGAGGGAGGGAGGAGGAAGGGAGGCAGCGAAAGTCGAGGGAGGGAGGGAGGCAGGCAGGCAGGCAGGCAGGGAGGGATGGAGGGAGGAAGGAGGCAGCGGCTGTCTTGTTCTGGTCTATCTGGTGATCTAGGCTTTTTTCCTTTCTGCCCTGGGCCTGATCTCTTTCCCTGTTCTTCTTCCACAACAAACACTCCTGAACAGCTCCCCGAGGGCCAGTGACTAAGGAGGCTGGGCTGGGGCCAGATGAGTTTGCGGCCTTGGCCGGCCCGGCTCCCCAGTGCTCTGGGGCTGGGGGGCTGGCCACCCCCTTCCCCTTCCCCTTCATCACCGCCCCCCGCCCCGCCTGGCCTCCGGGCCCAGCCCAACCCAGCCAGCGGCGGCGGCAGCGGCGGCAGCGGCGGCAGCTGCAGGCGGCTGATGCTGGCAGCTGGAGGCTGGCGGCTGGCGGGGCTCGCAGCATGCTGCGCCTCTGGTGGGAGGGCAGTCTGGGGCTGCCTGGCTCTCTGAGCAATGTCACGACTTCCTTCTGGTGGCAACAACAAACCCAGTGGCAACCTGAGCAGCAGCCGGCCTGGAGGACAGCTGTAGGAAGCTGTGCACTGCTGCTAGTTTCAAATTAGCAGGAGCAGAGGCACACGGCCCCGCACGCAGGCTCTCCTCCTCCTTCTCGTCCTCCTCCTGCTCCTGCTCCTCCTCCTTGTCGTCACCCTCCTCCTCGCCCTAGTCCTGCTCCTGCTCCTCATCTCCCTCCTCCTCGCCCTAGTCCTGCTCCTCCTCTTCCTCCTCCCCCCCCCCCCCCTCCAGTGAGCGAGGGAGTGGAGGCTGGAGGCTGGAGGCTGAGTCTGGAGGCCAGAGGCTGGCCACTTGGAGGACAAGAGGACAAGGTGAAGACAATGAGCACTGGCGATGTGGTTTGCACCGGCTGGCTCATCAAGTCGCCCCCTGAAAGGAAGCTCAAGAGATATGTAAGTAGCCTCGTCTAACTCATTTGTCGGGTTTTCAGTTTGGGAGGGTTTCAGCAGGGGACATGGCTGCTTCTTCAAGGGACTCCTGGCTGGGGAAAAGAAGGTCCAGAAGCCTGAGAATGAAGGGTCAGGCCATTTCCCAATGCCCAGCCAGGCCGAGGGAGGTTGCACGACTCTTCCTAGCCTCTTGCTGGCCAGTTGGGCTGCTATGCAACAGTTTAGGTAAAAGCCACACCCCAATTTCTGTTGCCCTTCTCCTGGGGCCTGAGGTCCCCCGGTTTCTGGAAGAGGCAAAAAGCAGCCCTTCCTGGGTGAGCCTGTGGAGCCATCATTGGTCCCTGGCAGGAGTGCCAAAGTGAGGGCTGGCGACTGGCTTGGCAGAGGTAGCTCGGGAAGTTCAAGATGGGCTAGGTGCCCATTTGCCTCCTATGCCTCACTCCATGTGCTCTCTCTGTAGCCGGTTGAAATGGCTAAACAGTGTCTGTTGTTGTTTGTTGTTGTTGCTACTTTGGCTGCTGCTTGAGTGGTTGTTGTGGTGGTGGTTGTTAGGGAATGTCAGGTCAGGGGCCTGGCTGGGAGTTTCATAGCTTCAGAAAGTGAAATTGATGCATGTGGTCGCTGCCCTAAAGGGAAGCAGCAGGTGTACAATGGAAAAGGCTCTGCTGCCCAGTCTTCCTATTGATAGGACCTGAACCTCTCTTAGCCTCAGTTTCAGCATCTGTAAAATGGGGATAATGATGCTGGTAGAGCCTACTATCTCCTAAGGCTGCCATGAAAGTTACGGGAGACCATCCACGTCAAGCTTTTTGCAAACGTTAAGGCTGCATATGAATATCAGAAATGATTATGAGCACACAGAAGGCACAAAAATCCAGTTTGAGGCAAGGGTCCAAACCCATTTCATTCTCAATAGTGCCTTTTGCTGCATGGGAATGCATTTTTGCGGGTGTGTCAAGGCAGGTTTTCCATGTATGTGGTCTTTAAAAAATGTTTTAAATTGCTAATGACAGTAAGCTTCATAATGCTTCAGTCCTTACCGCTCCAGAGCTTTCTCTAATATCTTCTACAGGCAATGTCCTCAGGGGTTTAGCCCTGCAGAAATTATGCACTTCCTCCTTCCCTTGCTATGACCACTCAAAGGAGGCTGGAAGATGCTCTGTGAATTCAGGGTATAGGGCTGGAGGGCAGTTAGGAGGTCAGCTAATCCAACCTTTCATTTTACCAGAGAGAAAACTGAGGTGCAGAGAACTGAAGTCACTTGCTGAAGATTACTCAGCTAGGAAATAGCAGAGCTTGGCTTGTGAAAATTTTCCATCTAAATCAGGGGTTCTTAGTCTTTTTGTGTCATAGACCCCTTGGGCAGTCCAGTGAAGTCCTATACACTCCTCCAAATAAAGCTTTTAAATGCATAAAGTAAAATCCATAAGATTACGAAGAAAACCAAATTGTATTGAAATACAGTTACCTCTCTCTCTCTCTCTGTATCTTTCTGTCTTTCCCCCTCTCTCTCTGTATCTGTATTTCTCTATCTCTCCTTCTCTCTTTTTTTCTCTCTCTCCCTCCCTCCCTTTATCTCTCCCTCTCTTTCTCTGTCTCTCCTCTTTCTTTGTGTCTCTTACTCTCTCTCTCTTTCTCTGTATCTCTCTCTCCCTCTCTCTGTCTCTCTCTCCCCCTCTCTTTTTTTGTATCTCTCCCTCTCTTTCTCTGTATCTCTCTCTCTCTCTCTCTCTCTCTCTCTCTCTCTCTCTCTCTCCCTTTCTAATAAATTCATGGCCCCCAGTTTAAGAATCCCTGATTTAAATGATTATGTTTCTAATTAGGTCATTAATCAAGTTGTCCTCAGCATTTCTTCTCAATCCCTATTCCCCACCTCGATGTCCTGGCGAAATGAGTTACTGTCGACTTTGCCTGTAGAAGGCAATAAAAAACAAGCTCTTAGGATCACACATACCTTCTGACCAGTCCAGCAAGGCTTTGTCAGTGCCATGACCTGGTCACTTTGAACTGAAATCCCAGGGCCTGCAGTTTCATGCCAGCTTTCAGAGACTTGATTTCCACTCCACATTTTTCCCATGTGAACAATAACTGCTATAACTTCCCTCCAGGGAGTTACCTAGAAATAGCTATCAGGACAGGGTGGTTTATTTTGGCCGGGGGCTGACCTCCTGGATAAATCTGTTTCAAAGGTCCCAGCCTTTCTCACTCCCCGGAGCCCCAGGATTGAGGCTGTCACCTATGCAATTATAATGCAAAGTGATTCATTGAATATGCTGAGGTTGGGGAGGGGGAGCTTGGGGATTGAAGGGAGGGGCTTTTTTTTTTACTGGATGCCAACAAATCTAGTTGAATTGACCCTCTGCACCAGTTGACTGGAAAAACAATAATGATAACTCACATTTACAGAATACTTCAAAGGGTGGACCTAGAAACAACCTGGGTCTTTGATTGAGGCCCACAAAGTCTATGGAGTGCTCCTTGTGAGGCAGATGAGACATTTAGCGGCCCTGAGGTCTTGTTGCTTATACACATATTTCTAGGCAACTGCACCTGAAGCTGCCTGGGAGTTTCTTTCCCTCTCCCCTCCTTTCCCAGTGCCTGGGGGCCCCGTCTCCTGACTGCCCTTAGAAGGGACCCTTTAGTAGCTCCTGATTGTTTGTTCAGATGAAAGCTGACATGTTTGAGAACCATTTCCTTTTCCTGGCTCCGAGGGGGATGGTGGAGATCTGCAATGCTAACCGCTTCTCTTCATATCTATACCATGTGAGTGGGGGTAGTCTTTGTCCAACCACACAGACAGAGTGTGAGAGAGACCCAAAGATTGCACATGAACCCCAGATTCACCCAACGGGTTTAATTACTAAGGACTCAATAAAATGACTTAGATCACTCAGGATGTGGAGAAGGTAAGGAAGGACCGAAAGCTCTCATCACACAGCGGGGCTGACAGTGATCTATGTCGGGCTAGGCTGTCCAAGAGTGAAGTTAATTGCCATCCCAGAATCTCAGGCTCTCCAAGTTGGAAGAGAGCTCCTAGTCTATTTAGTCCAACCTGGGCTTGTACAAGCAATCTGACTACACCATCTGCAACAAATGGCCAAGCGTTTTTTGCTTCAAACCCTCCTGGGAGTGGGAAGCCACCACTCTTCACTTTAGAGCAGCTCTCATTGTTAGTAAGCTTCTCTTCACATGGAGCTGAAGTTTTCGTCTAGAACTTAGTCACTGCAGTCTATCCTGGGATCAAGCAGAACAAAGCTAGTGCTTATTCCACTTGACAGCCATTTAGATACTGGAAGGCAGCTCTCATGTCCTCCAGTGTCATCTCATCTCCAGGCTCGACTTTCCTGGTTTTTCTAGCATTATAGGATTTTTGAACTAGTTGGTCTCTTGGAAATTATTGTGTCTAGCTCCCTTATTTTATAGTGGAGGAAAACTGAGATTGAAGGATGTTGGCTCTTGAGTGCAAAGTCAGTGGGGATTTTCCCAATCCTGTTTAGGACCTTTCCATCTGAACTAACAGGGTTTGGTATTTTCTTAGGGCTTCATTGATGCTATAAAGGTATGTCTGATAATACGTGTTCATTCTTCAGCACCGAAATGGTTTGGTGTCCATCCACATTATTGGTGGTGGCTACTCCGTCCAATGGTGCAGAGCCCCACCATGCACACCTACTCATGCTGTGGACTTCTTGAGCATGTCCTCTCATAAAACCTCCACAAAACTTCCACCCAACACAGAGTGGGAGAGATTCGAAGCATTTTAGAGGTAGAAGCCCACCTGTCTGTTATCCCTCTTTATTTTCTGGTCATATGCCTCTTTGATGATACCTTTTACTCCTCTTATCTCCTTGATGATACTTCTTCATGTACCTGTCACAATTAATAATATGCAAATGCCTATTTCTGTGCATCTCTGGCAACCTATCTTCGATATTGTTATGCAAAACCCCTTACTTTAAGTGGAAAACAGAACTGGGGAAAACCAGATGATTGTTTCTTCATTAACTTGTTTTTTCAAATCTGTATTGACTTTTTAGTTAACTTTTTCCACCACTAGAAGGATGTCTTGTGTTGTATAAGTTTACATTCAGAAGGTCATAGATTTTAAGGCTGGAAAGGACTTTAAGAATCATTCAACTAGAACTAACCCCTCATTTTCCACATGAGGAAAGTAGGCAGAATTTGTCATGCACCTTCCGTTTGGGGAGAGCAAATTTCTAGTGGGTCCAGAGAAAAGATGGGCATGATGTCATAGACTACGATTCTCTAGGGTAAGTTATGCCAGAAGGAATGGGAAGCTCTCAAGAATGAAATTCTAAAGACATAAAGAAAAATAATTCTGACAAGGAAGAAAGTGAAGGAGTTGTCTAAAAAGGCTGATAAAACATACAGGAAATTCTTTGAATGAATTAGATTTTAAAAATTCAATTCAATAAACATTTTCTAAGCATCTACTCTGTGTTAGGCACCGTGCTAAACATTTATTAAAATAGACAGGAGATAGAATATAGAACAGGTAACAGGGCAAGCTGAATACAAAAGCATGACCCAAAGAACAAAGTTGGCCCAAAGAAAAACTGGAGAAGATGTTCATTCATGTGTGAAGCCAGTATGGAACACTGCATCTAACTTCAGATTATTTTTGACATGTTGATTGGTTTTGGGGAATTTTTTTTTAATATTTGTTATTAAGGGATGGCTCCTTGAGAGTGGGGGAGGAATACAGGAAAGGGGGGGAAGATATCTAGGTGATGTAAGAACAAAAGATATCAAGAAAAATCAAGAAATAAAACTCAAAGCCTGGCCCAGTCCTTTAAGAGTATTGGGATCACCAAGTGAGCTGATTTAATGAGGAAAGCTCAAAGATAGCAATGAGCTATAAAACCACTTGTAGTGGGAAAAACAACAAGAGTGGCTCTGGCTGCCACTGCTTCAAGTGGGCCATTGGGATACTCCTTGAGCATCTTTGGTGGTTTTGAATGGCCTTTGGACTGGAAAAGAGG